AAAGAATTATGAATGGGTTCTAGTGGAAAGGGTATTCAAGCAGAGGCGTGAGATGGTCTAACTGGGAGAGTCTGTGTGTTCCGAAGAAATATGGGGGTATGGGCTTCAGGAGACTACGGGATTTTAATCTTGCTATGCTGGGAAAGCAAGCCACAAGCGTGGAGATTACTTACACAACCGCATTCACTACTCACCAAGGTATTCTGGGCCAGATATTTCCCCCATTCTTCTTTTCAGGACGCAAAACTAGGAGGATCTCCGTCGTTTATTTGGAGGAGTATTTTCGAAACAAAAGCTGTTATTGCAAGCAATTTTAGATGGCGCATTGGAGATGGAAAGTCAATGAATATTTGGACGGATTCTTAGTTACCGGACGTCTTGAATCCAAGACACTCTTTGGCAGTGGTTCAAGGGCTTGAAGGTCGTAATGTGGCAAGCTTATTGTTGAACGATAAATGGGCTTGGGATGAGGACCTAGTAGCTGCAAATATTAAAAGTTGCAGAAAACTAATATAAACAGAAAATTAACAAAAATACTCCGTAAGCATCAAACTGAGAAGCAGTCTGGAACCGCATGTGAAGGAGAAGGTAGAGGAGGCAGCACCTGTAATTGCGACAGATGAAGAAGGCGGAATAAGTGGGAAGAAGCGATCAACCAACTAATATCGCCGTTGACAGTCAATGCATAAATCTACGACCTCAAACTTTTTAGGTTGAAGTCTAGAACTGTTAGGAAGTGGGCCCAGCGGATCCAAAAAACTTTACACATCAGACCTATGTAGAGCCCGTTTCTCATAAACCGGTTTTTTGGCTTATAAGTCAACTTTTTTCCGTAAATTTTGATTTCGCGTACTATATTTCATAATAATAAATAAGTAAGATTGAAATTATTTTGATTGTATTGACTGGAGTTACAGTAGGGGGTTATTTTAGCTATTTTTTGTGTAATTTTTTTATTTAATTAATAAAATATATTTTAATTTTTATTTAATTAAATAAATATATTTTAAATCCACTATTTCTTTCTGTGCAAATGCGATTTGGGAGGCAAGAGGGCTTCAAGGAGATGATGGGGTGAATCTGATGGAAGCGGGGGCCAAATATCTAGGGCTTCCCTCACTGGTAGGTCGAAGCAAAAGAGAAGTTCTAGCGTATATTAAGGAAAGGATTGTTAAACGTCTCAATGGTTGGAATCATATATTTTTATCTAGGGCAGGCCGAGAAGTCCTAATTAAAATGGTTCTTCAGGCTATGCCTAGTTATGCAATGGATGTCTTTCTTTTCTCAAAGGAAATGTGTATAGAGATTGAAAGAATTATGAATGGGTTCTAGTGGAAAGGGTATTCAAGCAGAGGCGTGAGATGGTCTAACTGGGAGAGTCTGTGTGTTCCGAAGAAATATGGGGGTATGGGCTTCAGGAGACTACGGGATTTTAATCTTGCTATGCTGGGAAAGCAAGCCACAAGCGTGGAGATTACTTACACAACCGCATTCACTACTCACCAAGGTATTCTGGGCCAGATATTTCCCCCATTCTTCTTTTCAGGACGCAAAACTAGGAGGATCTCCGTCGTTTATTTGGAGGAGTATTTTCGAAACAAAAGCTGTTATTGCAAGCAATTTTAGATGGCGCATTGGAGATGGAAAGTCAATGAATATTTGGACGGATTCTTAGTTACCGGACGTCTTGAATCCAAGACACTCTTTGGCAGTGGTTCAAGGGCTTGAAGGTCGTAATGTGGCAAGCTTATTGTTGAACGATAAATGGGCTTGGGATGAGGACCTAGTAGCTGCAAATATTAAAAGTTGCAGAAAACTAATATAAACAGAAAATTAACAAAAATACTCCGTAAGCATCAAACTGAGAAGCAGTCTGGAACCGCATGTGAAGGAGAAGGTAGAGGAGGCAGCACCTGTAATTGCGACAGATGAAGAAGGCGGAATAAGTGGGAAGAAGCGATCAACCAACTAATATCGCCGTTGACAGTCAATGCATAAATCTACGACCTCAAACTTTTTAGGTTGAAGTCTAGAACTGTTAGGAAGTGGGCCCAGCGGATCCAAAAAACTTTACACATCAGACCTATGTAGAGCCCGTTTCTCATAAACCGGTTTTTTGGCTTATAAGTCAACTTTTTTCCGTAAATTTTGATTTCGCGTACTATATTTCATAATAATAAATAAGTAAGATTGAAATTATTTTGATTGTATTGACTGGAGTTACAGTAGGGGGTTATTTTAGCTATTTTTTGTGTAATTTTTTTATTTAATTAATAAAATATATTTTAATTTTTATTTAATTAAATAAATATATTTTAAATCCACTATTTCTTTCTGTGCAAATGCGATTTGGGAGGCAAGAGGGCTTCAAGGAGATGATGGGGTGAATCTGATGGAAGCGGGGGCCAAATATCTAGGGCTTCCCTCACTGGTAGGTCGAAGCAAAAGAGAAGTTCTAGCGTATATTAAGGAAAGGATTGTTAAACGTCTCAATGGTTGGAATCATATATTTTTATCTAGGGCAGGCCGAGAAGTCCTAATTAAAATGATTCTTCAGGCTATGCCTAGTTATGCAATGGATGTCTTTCTTTTCTCAAAGGAAATGTGTATAGAGATTGAAAGAATTATGAATGGGTTCTAGTGGAAAGGGTATTCAAGCAGAGGCGTGAGATGGTCTAACTGGGAGAGTCTGTGTGTTCCGAAGAAATATGGGGGTATGGGCTTCAGGAGACTACGGGATTTTAATCTTGCTATGCTGGGAAAGCAAGCCACAAGCGTGGAGATTACTTACACAACCGCATTCACTACTCACCAAGGTATTCTGGGCCAGATATTTCCCCCATTCTTCTTTTCAGGACGCAAAACTAGGAGGATCTCCGTCGTTTATTTGGAGGAGTATTTTCGAAACAAAAGCTGTTATTGCAAGCAATTTTAGATGGCGCATTGGAGATGGAAAGTCAATGAATATTTGGACGGATTCTTAGTTACCGGACGTCTTGAATCCAAGACACTCTTTGGCAGTGGTTCAAGGGCTTGAAGGTCGTAATGTGGCAAGCTTATTGTTGAACGATAAATGGGCTTGGGATGAGGACCTAGTAGCTGAGTTGTTCGAGGAGAGAGATACACATCTCATTTTGGGGCTACCATTGGGGTTGAAGGAAGTGCCAGACTAGATGTTATAGCCTTTGGAAGCTTTGATTGTAGTGTTGACCTTTGGTGTTGAAGTTTTGGACTTTGAAGTTTGAAGTGGCTCAAATTTGCTCTTGAAAAAGAAAGATGGAAAAGTGTACACTTTTAAACAAAGGTGGAAAGTGAGCTTCTTTAACTTTCCCACACATAAACTCCTTGAGAAGTTTGAAGCCTATAAATATGAACCACTCCTCTCTTAGAATTAAAAGGTGAAGGAGAATAGGGGAGCTCTCGCGCACACAAGAATTCCGGCTTTCAGTTCAGAATCGAAAATTCGCACCCCCCCTGCGCGGGCGACCTGCGGACACGATAGTCGTAAAATTTAACGGGTTTCAAAAGACAATTTTGCCCCTCTTTTTTTAGCTTAACCCGTATTTTTAATTTACGGGTAAGTCGCCAAACCGTTGGGCGACTTATAAGTCGCCATCCCAGTATATCCGTAAATACTTTTAACCCGGCCCTATTTTCGTAAATACTTAATTAATTAGCATTAATACGGAAAAAAACTCCTATCCTATACGGAGTAATTTATTTCTTCTAGATAAAGAATCGCTTGAGAAGTGACAGAAATTTCGGTAGGTGGAATAATCCTTGTAGGGTCAAAGGTTAAAGTTTTCTTTCCCTAAACTTAATCACATTTCCTTATTTATTGATCAGAAAACAAAATCATTTGGCATTAAAAAAAATCACATACTTTTATTAACATATATATAACTACGCAATTTTTTCTTTATTATCGTGCCAAACGCGTGTGGCCAATGTTTAGATGAGGGAATAATTGTACAGGATATATGTAGCACTAATAATTAAATGAAACAATTGAAAGCTAGCTTCTTACTGCAATATTAGGGTCTTTTAAATTAGCAGTAGACCATAGAAGAACCAGGCAACAGCACTCATTGTGAGGAAAACGGATAGCAGAAATGGCATATGCTCCACGCTCTTCGTACGGACAACATGCCTCTGCACCCATACATACATAGTTACATACATAAATACATAATAATACGACATGGAAATCAATTAACGAGGGGCAAATTACCAATTTAGTCCTCGTATTATCAAGAAAAAGTCAATTAAGTTCTCGTACTTTAAAAAAATCAATGAAATCATCAAACCTTGAAAAAGCGTTCAATTAGGCCAATTAGCAGGTTACCTGCCATATATGTCAGCATGCAGGTCGCCGACTACGTGGCGCACGTGTGGTAGTCCATATGTGCACCACTTCATCGGTAAATGTCTGGTTAGGCTTCCACGTGCTCCACGTCAACAAAGTCACTGCCGACTAGATTGTCACATGTGTGCTACGCTAGAAGGTGACTTGCTGGCATGGGCGGGTAACTTGTTAATGGACTCAATTGAACGTTCTCACAAAGTTCGAAGATTGAATGATATTTTTAAAGTACGAAAATTTAATTGACTTTTTGTAATAGTACGAGAATCAAAATACATTTTTTATAATTTTTTCATTAATGAGAGTCCACGTGAAATGAAATGGTAGATTATGAAAAGTGATGAAGTTGTAGATTTGTCTTTCAAATCATTCGTACATACGTAGTATAAATTTATCCACATTTTTATAGTGTCCATCTCCCCCTACAAAAGTCCTCATCCGCGGAGCATTTACGGTTATTAATCTCATGGAAATTGTACATAGGGGAGAGCACGGGTCGGGTTCGGGTCGGGCGGTTTGAAAAAGGACTTGAATGGATACCCGATCCTATGCATTTAAAATAAAAAACATTCGGGTTTTTAATTTTCGGGTTTATGTCGGGCGCGGGTCGGGTTACGGGTTAAATCGGGTTAACAAATTAGCCAAAAAAATCAGAGTTTAAATACAATTTGAACTTTGATGTTTACAATCAAACCATACTGAGTTTAAGTCCAAAAAATATAACAAAATGAAATGGGACTAAGTTTACACATTACAATGTCTTATAAATGTTACAACTTTACAAGCTGCCATTCAAAAATTCCCAAACAGCAAAATCATAAGTTCCCACTTCACAGTTCACACTTGAGTAGTTGAGTAGTAGAGTACTTCAGTACTTGATAACTTGACCAATTGTCCACTTCCCAGCTTTAACACGTCAAAACTCAAAACATCACAAGTTGATGACCTATTTACCTAGATACAACATACAAATATACAATACATAAACAAGTATCAAATTCACAAAGCATTGAAGTATACAATGAAAAAATACTTAGAAGAAACAGATTAAGTCTTTATACAAAATCAGAATTCAGAACTTCAGAAGCTCCCAAATGACTATACATACAATTCATATATATGATACTGATATGTTATAATAGGGTCACAAGATAGACTGAAAAAGAAAATGACAATCCAATTCTATTTCATTTTAAACTCAGACTATATACAAGCTTAACTGCAGCATACCACTATACCAGATTACCAGTGCAACACATAAACAAGTATCAACTGCACAAAGAATCGGAGTATACTATGAAAATAATACTTACAAGATACAGAATGAGCTATTTTTACAAAATCAGAACTTCAAAATTCCTAAATGACTATAGAAGATAATGAGATGGCTCAGAATGCTTATTATCATTCATAAAGGATAGGGGGCATCCGCTACCATTTCAGTTACACTAAAGAACTGAAAGAGCAATACCTACCCTAAACCCCTTAGATTCAGTAATGAGTGGAAGCTTCATCATTGCCATATATATTACTTAATTTATCATATATATCAGACTGATATGTTATAATAGGGTCACAACATAGACTGAAAAATAAAATGACAATCCAATTGTATTTCATTTTAAACTCAGACAGTCCGACTATATACAAGCTTAATAGTAGCTGAGTAGCATACCACTATACCAGATAACCAGTAGAAGACATAAACAAGTATCAACTTCACAAAGAATTGAAGTATACTATGAAAATAATACATAGAAGATACAGAATAAGCTATTTTTACAAAATCAGAACTTCAAAATTCCCAAATGACTATAGAAGACAATGAGATGGCTCGGAATGCTTATTATCATTCATAGAGGATAGGGGGCATCCGCTACCATTTCAGTTATCACTTAAGAACTGAAAGAGCAATACCTACCCTAAACCCCTTAGATTCAGTAATGAGTGGAAGCTTCATCATTGCCATATATATTACTTAATTTATCATATATATCAGACTGATATGTTATAATAGGGTCACAACATACACTGAAATTTATACCAGTAGAGGATGATTACTTCATTACTTCACACATACTCCATGCTCCACAGTGAACAATCCAAATTCCAGACCCCAGACCATCAAATTAACATATTGGATATTTCATCCTGTATAAGTAAACTGTAAAAGTAAATACTCATAAACTTTAGAAGTAAATACTCATAAACAGTTTCAGGTATGCAAAGTTAGGCTCAGATTGATTCCAAGTTATCTCACATATGATCTCACAAAGGATATGGGCATACTATCCAAACAGGATTAACACCAACACAATCATCCATGAGTCATGGGATAATTAGTCAAAAGTTTAAAGTGAAAACTCTAAACCCTGGAAACATTCATCACAGCCAAATGTGTGTTCAAACTGTAGTGACTTCAACCTTTTTCCTTTTTTGTCCAGAAACAGGAGGTGGTTCTGTGACTGCAGATGGGTCATTGGTAGTGTTAGGATCACCAATTTCAGCTTCCACCACTGTTTCTTGACTCAAAAGAGGTTGACTTCCAGATAAAGATATGTTCACACTTTCAGGAGTTTGACCTTCCATCTATGCACATAATATCAGGGTAGCTTCCACTCATCATCAATTCATCATACATGATAGGCAACATATCACACATTGACACATTAATAAAAAAGCAACATTTTATGTCATATAGTTAAGATTACACCTCAAGTAACACCATACATGATACACTAAGTCTGGAACAATCAGCAAACTGATCTACAGAAGGATAATATGCATTGTGCATAATCACTTCTCTACAGACTTGGAAGAAACCAGTCAACTCTCATTACTCCTTTGAGTACAAGAGTAAAAAAAGGCTTCTTCATCAACAATCAGTACATAAGTGCAGTTATCTACAAATAGGCAACACAATAGACATTCAGAAATGAGAAATAGGCAACCCATTGACATCATAAGCTTCCACATGATAAGTGATGTTTATCAGTTTATGTCATATAGTTAAGATTACACCTCAAGTAACACCATACATCATACACTAAGTCTGGAACAATCAGCAAGCTGATTTACAGAAGGATAATATGCATTGTGCATAATCACTTCTCTACAGACTTGGAAGAAACCAGTCAACTCTCATTACTCCTTTGAGTACAAGAGTAAAAAAAGGCTTCTTCATCAACAATCAGTACATAAGTGCAGTTATCTACAAATAGGGAACACAATAGACATTCAAAAATGAGAAATAGGCAACCCATTTAGTCATTCACATCATAAGCTTCCACATGATAAGTGATCAGATGTCAATATGTCATTGTACATTCAGAAAACAAGTAACCAAATAACCAATTCATGTTGACATGTCTAGGTATAAGACAAATAATAATATCATACCAGGGTGGCTTCCACTCATGACTCATCATCAATTCATCATAGTATATTAGTATTATGGGCAAGACATTGCAGATTAAAACAATAATACATCATAAGTCATAACCAAAACAAATTATTGACATTGTACATTCAGAATTCAGAAAACTCTCAAGTCTCAACCAAATCACTTAATAAGTAATTCATCATCATTCTAAGGTGTTCACATAGTGACACTCAGAATTCAGAAACACCCATTTCATCATCACTCTGATGTACAAAGTCCACAAACATGTCAAACAACAATACCTTATTCAAGCTTCCACATATCAGTATATCACATATGCATATACAATTACACATTTACACAGAATACATTGGGTCAAACTTCAATTTCATCATCAAACAATGCTTCCACGTTCCAACATGCAAAAGTATTTATTATTTTATACCTCAGTGACTCAGTGATTCTCAAAGCTTAAGGAAAATATAATATATTGGGTCACACAACTGCAGAAGGACAGAGTTTAAGGATTTCAGAGTTCGGACTTCGGACTATGGGCTTGAGGGCTTCCACACTTCCACTCAGAACACAGATGGACTGCAACAGATGAAGATAAACCAACATATCAAGTATCAAAGACAGACATAAGTCATAAATTCATAATACGGATTATGAACCGAGAAGTCAGAGACAATCATACAAACAAACAAGTGTAGAACAGTAGAACTAGAGAAGTGCTTTACTCAATCGAGTCAGACAACAATATCGGCTACCCAGCAACGAACCAACGACGGCCAAGTCTGAGAGAGTGAGAGTCAGAAAAGTAGAGAACCGAGAAGTGAGAATTAGGGTTTCGAAGGAAAGAGGCGCTGAAGTGAGCGAAGTGTGAAGCAGTGAAGTGAGATTAGGTTAAAGGGTGTAGGGTTGGGTGGTTGGGTTAATGGGTTATGGGTTATTGGGTTAGGATTAGTATATATATTAAAATATACTGGGCCTGTAAAATCGGGTGGTCGGGCGGGTCGGGTAGGAAAAGCCCAAACCCTAACCGAACCCTATAGGCAGCCCACTAACAGTCGGGCCGGTTCGGTTGGTCAGTTTCGGGTCGGGTAATCCGACCCAAAGGCCACGGATCGGATAAATCCGATCGGGTCGTTCGGGTTGGGTCGGGTATGCTCAGCCCTAATTGTACATTCTGGTCAAAAGGGTATATATATAGTACCGACCAATTTAATAAGGGAAAGTTACTGAAATATGACTAAAAGAGTTTGAAAATTCCAAAATAGAACTGTCATATTTTTTATTTCCAAAATAGTATTAATTACTGTCTAGTATGGAAAATACTGTCATGTTTGAAATCTGGTACTGCCGAAATATGACAGTAATTAGTTCCACTTTAGGAATAAACACATGGCAATTCTATTTTTGAATTTTCAAACTTTTTCAGTCTTATTTTGGATAATATTCTCATTTATTAATAATTACAAAAGTAATATACAATTCATGTATAATTGTAGAGTCACTTCCTTTTTACAATTAACTTCACTAGCTATGTATCTTAGGGCATCCCCATTAGTAGGATTATTAAGAGATTAAATAAGTGATGTGGCAGATTTTTTATAGAAGCATCATTGAGAGACATAAATTATTTAATGAGATTATTTGCTACAATAATCCTGGATCAAAATATGAATCCAAATTATTTTAAGATTATTTAAATTGTATATGTAATAGAAGTTAATGCAGGATAAAAAAAATCGGATTATTTGAAGATGATGGTTGGGAGCATAAACGAATATTGAGATTATTTAAAAATTAATTATATAACAATATTTAAAATGTAAGAATCATAGAAAAAATTGATATGAGATGATGAATGGAGATGCTCTTATTGGTCAAAGTCGCTTTTTGTGTGTGTTATCATCATCCGTAAATCCGTAATATTGGGTGATGCGGAATTGGGGTTTAATGCGCCAAACCCCCCTGTGATTTGGAAATTCGGCGCATTAGCCCCCTGTGATTTAAAAAATGCGTCAAACTCCCCGGTGTTTTAATTAATCATGCGCCAAATCCCTTATGTGAACAAATTCAATTGTCAAATAAAAGAAAAATGATTAACATTTTTGTATGATTCAGAGATATTGACATATTTATTTGCATATTCAATCAAAATATTAGGAAAAATGTTTTTCAAATCGTTAAATTTATTCATAAAGGGGGTTCTGTGCATGATTAATTAAAACACAAGGGGGTTTGACGCATTTTTTAAATCACAGAGGGCTAATGCGTCGAATTTCCAAATCACAGGGGGGTTTGGTGCATTAAACCCTGCGGAATTGCGGACAATCAGATCATCCGTAATATTGGGTGATGCGGAATTGCGGACAATCAGACGGTAAGAGAGAATGTAAAAATGATCTTTAATCTTTAATGAGTATATGAGTATATATATGTATTACACTATTACAGCTACAAACCAAGATATATATAAATCCTACTGTCCATCCTATAAAATTCACTATATCGACTTTTGTTTTGGTTAAGTTTGACCAATAAAGTTAAAATGTGAAACTATATGTTGTGAATGTGTTTGAAGTATTCGTTTCACACTCGAAAATTATAGAGAAAAGAGGCAAATAAGCCCTCCAACTATTTGCAATTCTGCAATTAGGCTCTTGAACTTGAAGAATTGCAGATATACCCCTCAACTCATTGCAAATGATGCAATCAGATTTTTTTTACCTGTTGGTGGGGGTAAGAAGATGAAATATTACCGGCACCAACAGGTAAAAAGGACCTGATTGCATCATTTTCAATGAGTTGAGGGGTGTATCTGCAATTCTTCAAGTTCAGGGGCCTGATTGTGGAATTGCAAATAGTTCGAGGGCTTATTCGCCCCTTTTCTCAAAATTATATAAGGTTTTGGATCACTCCGTCTATGATAGAATCCTGATATCAGAGCCTAGTCCGGTAAGTTGTGGTTTGACTGTTTGTTTAACGTCCATGATTAAAAGTATCTTGTTTAGGGTACGGTATGTTTGGCTCATTTATATACCCGATATTGTACAGACCGATTCGAGCTGAGAGGTTGTTAAAGTATTAGTCGAACAGAGGAAAGCTATAAAAACAAGGGAAAATTGTCAAATAGGTCCTCGAACTTTCATAAAAAAATCAATTAAGTCCTTCTATAGGAGACTTTGTCCGGTCGTCATGATTTGGGACGGTTCCCGGTGGAATTTTTTGATGAAATTTTTTGAGCATCTTATTCATCAAGTCTAGTTTACTCATACCAAATTTCAGCTAAAAATTTAATCGGGAGCGCATTCAAATTAATTTGAGAACGCAAAAATGCGCAGTTATCTTCAAGAATTAATTTGAATATGTTCCCAATTGAATTTTTAGCTGAAATTTCGTATGAGTAAACTAGACTTGGTGGATAAGATGCTCAAAAAATTTCATCAAAAAATTCCACCGGGAACTGCCCCAAATCGCGACGACCGGACAGAGTCTCCTATAGAAGGATTTAATTGACTTTTTTATGAAAGTTCGAGGACCTATTTGAGAGTTTTCCCTAAAAACAATAAATATACTTCGTATTATATAGGACTTTGACTTATCTTTCTATCAAATTGGTCTTGTAGAATGGAATTACGAGTCTAAACCGCATTTTCTTAATTAGAATTACTTTTATAAAAGAATAGAGTTTTAAATTTCACATGTATAATTAGCCAAAAAAATTGTGTTAATCGTACACGTGTATGTGTATAGGAAAAGACACTTACGAGAATGCATAAGGGAGCGACAAAGACACAGAGAGAGAAGACAAGGCAAATCTAGGGCTGGGCACGGGCCGGGTCGGGGCGGGTAATGCAAAATAAAATGGAACCGCCGGTTCCATTGTACGGTTCGGTCCGGTCCGGGTATTACAATTTTCAAAATAGGAACCGGAAATTACCCGGCCCGTTTGAAACGGGTCGGTCCGGTCCGGGTTTTACGGTTTCTATTCTCATGTCTTGAAATTAGTAAAAACTCACGAAATTACCAAAATCAATAATATAGGACATTAGCAAGTTTCAAAATAACAACATAGTGGTGCATATATAACACAAGTGAAAAGTCCAATACTCCATATTTTCTTGTATATAAGTTTCAAACAATTAAAGAAATTCCAAAAATATGCAACATAGCCAAAATACATATTTTCTAACATTTGTATTTAAACATGTTGTCTAACATCACATATTAAAGTGATTGCTTTTTTTATATTACTTTATCAGTGTTAGCCAAAGTTGACACATACATGGTGGGTGGTAAACACAATTTATATATTTTAATAACAATATAATAAAAAAATATAACAAAATCATCTTTAACAAATAATTAAATTCCATAGAAAGGAATAATTCAATAACAATAAAAAGTAATAAGATATTTATGAAACATTTAATCAATAATTTGAAAACAAAAGGATGTTACTGCAACTCAATTTAAAATCCTACTTCTAGCACAGGAAACAAAACTATTTCAAAACCGATTATCACAAAACTATTAATAAATTAATATACAATATATATAACGGGCCGGGCCGGGTACCCGTTATTTTTTAATTTTGGAACCGGTCCGGTTCCTTAAAAAAAATTACCCGACCCTACCCGGACCGTTTTATAGAAACAAAAAATGGAACCGGCCCGTTTTGGACCCGAACCGCCATTACTCGGACCGGACCGCGGTTCCAAGACCCGTTTGCCCACCCCTAGGCAAATCCACCCCACCACTTGAGCACGAATTGCACCTTTGAAAGCAAACTGCGTGACAAGAACTATGGCACCAATGTTGGAAAATATTCCATGTAAATGCCCTTGGACCATTTATATAATTTAATAAATATTGGGGACATTTATGTCTTACCATTAAGTTTGCCATATGACATATTTGGTCTCTTTATTTATGTATAGTTAACATATGATGGATATGTTTTAACATTAAATAATACATAAGGGGCCAATTGGGTTTCTCTTTGATACAAAACATAAATGACCGCTCGTTCCATTCTTACGACAAATGAGAAGGGGCGTGTCTCCTCCCAAGGGTCACAAGAACACCTATAATAAGAGACCCAAGGGAGACTTAAAAATCCATCGAATTTGTTGTTTGTATCCTTAGAGAATCCACACATCCATGGCTATGGCTTCATCATCTTCTACAACACAATCAAAGCATGGTTTCTCCCCAACCGGTTAGTGTTCTTATTGTTTGATTATATGAATTTTATCATGTTTTAGTGAGATTAGATCCTTAATTGGGACTGAATTTCTCTTCATTTGGTATCCGAGCCTGTTAATTCTCGCTTACATGATAAATTTCGAAGTTGCTGTCGTAAATAATTCATCTTTTTCACCGTATATTCGCATGTAACTTGGACTGGGTTTTATTAATCGGTGGTTATTAATTTAATTTATCAACCCGATTATGATGATGCGGCTTATAATGAATACGGAGTATGTGTTTTCTCCTCTGTGGAGTTTTTACTCAAACGATCACCCAATATATACTATGTACTAATGTTTGACTCTTGTTTTGGAATTTTTTGAATCCATCTGTCTGCCTTGACGTTGATTTGAAAACTAAATTTTCGTTTATCTGCAAACTGCAAAGCTGATAAAAGTAAATTTCAGTTTTGATTTGACTCCGTTTTGTTTTCTGTTCGGTTGTTTAAAGTAAACTGAAAATAAAATCTAAGACTCTTAACTAACAGATGATTTCTTCTCCTTTCGAATTTTACTTGGTTGTTGTTTCTGAAAACAACATGGGTTTACTTTGTGTTGATTCCCACAATAGTATAAGTGCATAAACCACATATAGGTTGTGATTCCTACGTACATGATTTGTATGAATCCTTTTGTCTGCCGTATGCTATTTGGTTGATCAACATAAAGTAAAAATATTGATTTTTTTTTTCCGAAATGCATGAAGTAAGTGCAGAGTACAATTCGGTAAAAGTGCTTATAAACACACTGATAATTCTATCCTGGAAATTTGCCAGTTTGAACCATTTGAATTGTCTGTTCATAATTTGCAGATTTTGACTTATTACAAATGCATATACATGAACAGAAAACTTGGTTCATTAACATATGCAATTTAAAAGTGCATTACTGCATGACTGACTTCAATTTTATTCCATATTCAAACTTATAATATGGATTATTGATTAACTTATTGTGAAGTTCAATAATCGGCCCAACGGAAGATTATTGATTTTTACTATCTTAAACAATTATATGAGTTTTCTTTTAACAAACCCAAAGGTGTTTTATTTGATAACTTATGTAATGAAATTTAAGCATAAAAAAATGTGTTATATTTCTGCCCAAAGGTGATATATGACATATTTTGAAGCCTAATTTTAATTTTAATATTATAATGTTTGATAGTTAGCATTAGCCAACGCAATGTTAGTTATTAAGCATGATATGAACTTTTCCTATTATTTGGTGTTGATAATAGGCTTATTTACTAATAATTGACATTCCTTATTGTATTCCCTTATATATTATGAATAGCTTCTATTATTGCCTCTCTTAAAACTTTTATTTCAGCATCTACTTTTACTCCGTACAATTATGGGATAGAACCTCTAAATGGTACAAACTTTTCAACATGGAGAGAATCTATAAACTCTCACTTGGCATGATGGACCTCGACCAAGCACTGAGAATGGATCCACCAGGTGCTCCTAATAATGAAAGTACTGTGGAACAAAAGCATTCTTATGAACAGTGGGAGAGGTCCAACCGAATGTGCCTCATGGTGATTAAGAATTCCATATCTGTAGCCATTCGCGGAGCCATTCCTGACTCTGAAAATGCGAAGACCTACCTAGAATATGTGGAAGAACAATTTAAGGGCACTTCTAAAGCACATGCCAGTACCTTAATTCTCAAAATGTTGACGAGTAAGTATGATGGAGTAAGTGGTATTCGTGAGCATATCATGAAAATGTCTGATATGTCTAACAAGCTCAAAAGTATGGACATGGAGATCAGTGAAGGTTTCCTCGTTCATTTCATAATGACTTCTCTACCTGCGTCTTATGGTCCATTCAAGATCAATTACAACACGCAGAAAGAGAAGTGGACAATGAGCGAGATGATTGCTATGTGTGTTTAAGAAGAAGAGCGCCTTAAAGCTGAAAGACCAGATGTTGCTCATCTCACTACCACAAACTCAAAGAAAAGGAAAGGCAACCGTCAAGGAGGAGGAAAAGGTAACATTTCTAAGGTCCCAAAGATAGGTGCAAGCGTGAACTCTGGTCCCTACTGTAAGTTTTGCCGTTTCAAAGGGCATTACCAGAGGGAGTGTCCTAAGTTTAAGGCATGGTTGACTAAGAAAGGTAACTTAACCACTTATGTTATTTATGAGTCATTGAACACATCAGTTCCCCTTAATACTTGGTGGATTGACTCTGGTTCAATGGTTCATGTTTCAAACACACTGCAGGGATTCCATTCAATCCGGACATTGGGAAGAAAGCAAAGAGTGATTAAGGTGGGCAATGGAGAAGAATTAAAAGTGGAGGCCATTGGAACTATCTCATTAATTTTAGAGAATGGCTTCATTCTTCATCTTCGTGATGCTCTTTATGTACCTAATATTACTCGTAATTTAGTGTCTGTATCGAAACTAAGTGCTGATGGTTTTACATTTAATTTCGTATACAATAAAGTGACAATAAGCTTGAACTCAAATGTAATAGGATTTGGTAGCATGGAGGGAAACCTCTATAAGTTATGCTTAGACACTAATTTTATGGAATCCCCATTGTCATTTAATATAACTGAAAATCCTTGCAAGAGAAAGAGAGAATTGGAATCGTCGTCCAATTTGTGGCATCAAAGGTTGGGCCACATATCACGAGATCGAATGATAAGACTCGTGAAAGACGGCATTCTTCCAAATCTTGACTTCTCAGATTATGACAAATGTGTGAAGTGTTTGAAAGGGAAATTATCTAAGAAAACTAAGAAAGGCGCCACGCGAAGCACCGGTTTGTTAGAATTAATACACACGGATATTTGTGGGCCTTTTCCCGATTCCATTAGTGGTCATACCTCCTTTATTACTTTCATAGATGATTACTCACGCTATATGTACCTATATTTGATTAAGGAAAAATCCGAATCACTAGATATGTTCAAGGCTTATATATAAAGCCGAAGTTGAAAATCAACTTGATCGAAAGATCAAAGTAGTGAGATCGGATAGGGGTGGTGAGTTCTATGTTCGACACACCGATATTGGTCAAGCTCCCGGTTCTTTCCATGAATTTTGTAAAGAACATGGGATCATCAACCAATATACCATGCCTGGCACCCCTCAACAAAATGGGGTTGCCGAAAGGCGGCATAGGACTCTTTTGGATATGGTCCGAAGTATGTTGGCTAACTCAAATCTTCCCCAATTTTTATGGACCGAGGCTCTTAAAACAGCAACCCACATATTGAATAGAGTACCATCTAAATCTGTTCCTAAAACTCCATATGAGTTATGGACGGGAAGGAAGCCTAGTCTACGGTACCTAAAAGTGTGGGGTTGTCCGGCTGAAGCAAAAGTGTATAATCCTCAATTGAAGAAACTTGACATGAGAACTATTAGTTGTTCCTTTATTGGTTATCCCGAGAGATCTAAGGGATATAGGTTCTATTGCCCATCTCATACTACCCGGATTGTCGAGACCCGACATGCTGAATTCCTTGAGAATACTAACATTAGTGGGAGTAGTAATGGTTCAAACATTAATGATGAACTTCAAGAAGGTGATGGAATGAATCCACTTATTATACTGCCCATTCTACCTAACTCTTCACTTGAAGATCATAGTGAAAGTCATACACCTCATAATAATGATGCAACAAGTCAAGAGGCGTAGAAACTCCAATAAATGTTGAACCAACTCCACCTGTTTCTAATGAAATTCCAGAAAATCAGCAATCCTTAAGGAGATCTCAAAGGGTGAGACGCCCCACAAATTTTGACGAATATTTAGTATATTTAAATGAAGAAGCCGACTTTGATTTAGGGAAAGTCGTAGATCCTATATCTTTCCATGACGCCATTAATTGTGACCAATCGATTTATTGGAAAGAAGCCATGAATGAGGAACTTCTTTCCATGGAGAAGAACAATGTTTGGGAACTTGTTGAATTACCAAAGGGTCATAAGCCCGTTGGAAGCAAGTGGGTCTTTAAAACTAAATTAGATCCAAATGGAAACATTGAAAGATACAAAGCAAGATTGGTTGCTAAGGGGTACACTCAAAGGGAAGGTGTAGATTATCAAGAGACCTTTTCACCTGTCTCTTGAAAGGACTCCCTAAGGGTCGTTATGGCTTTAGTGGCTCACTTTGATCTTGAGCTACATCAAATGGACGTCAAAACAGCCTTCTTAAATGGAGATTTACACGAAGATGTTTATATGATACAACCAGAAGGTTATGTTTCTAAGGGTCAAGAACATCTAGTGTGTAAACTCAAGAAGTCTATTTATGGGCTCAAGCAAGCGTCTCGACAATGGTACCTCAAATTTGATGAACTCATGAAATCAAATGGCTTCATTAAAAACAAAGTAGATCAATGCACTTATCTCAAAATGAGTGGGAGCAAATTCATCATACTTGTGTTATATGTTGATGACATCTTATTAGCAAGTAGTGATATGGATTTATTGCATGAAACAAAACGCTTATTATTTGGCCATTTTGACATGAAAGATTTAGGTGAAGCTTCTTATGTTATAGGCATTGAAATTCACCGAGATCGAGTCAAAGGGACGTTAGGTTTGTCCCAAAAGGCATACATTGAGCATATTTTAGAACGTTTTAACATGCAACAATGCTCTCCATCAGTTGCTCCAGTAGTTAAGGGAGACGTTTTTGGGCATTGGAATGACCCAAAAACGGAGGTTGAGAAAGAGCAAATGAAACTCATTCCTTATGCTTCTGTAGTTTGAAGCCTGATGTATGCTCAAGTTTGTACTCGTCCAGATATCGCATATGTATCCGGCATGTTGGGTAGATATCAATCTAACCCAGGATTAGATCATTGGAAAGCCGCTAAGAAAGTTTTGCGGTATCTTCAAGGGACTAAGGAGTACAAACTTACTTACCAGAGGTCTAATAATTTAGAAGTGGTGGGATATTCCGATTCTGACTTTGCTAAGTGCAAAGATGATAGGAAGTCTACTTCGGGATACATTTTCTTGCTGTCAGGTGGGCCAATATCTTGGAAAAGCCACAAGCAAAGACTTACGACTACTTCAACAATGATGGCTGAATATGTTGCGGTGTACAACGCAACATGTCATGGGATGTTGCTAAGGAATCTTATCAAAGGATTCAAAGTAGTAAATTCTGTCTCAAGACCGCTAAGGATTTATTGTGACAATTCCGCGGCCGTGAGCTTCTCAAACAATAACAGTTCGAGTGGAGCGGGATTGTTCCTCGATACAAAGTATTTGTTCGTTCGAGAAAGAGTGGAGGAAAACGAAATTTGTATCGAACACATCAGCACGAATGATATGCTAGCAGATCCTCTCACTAAAGGACTTTCGCCTAGTATTTTTCAAAGACATGTCACTAATATGGGCTTGATGAAAGATCCTGTTTAGGAAATTATAGCGCAGTGCCTGAATAACTATCTTATGTATTAATTTCAAGTACTTGATTTAAAATTCCTCCCTAAGTATGTTTTGTCTATTCTTCATTGTGCACACAAAGTTATTTTAATAGACAAACATAATACCCTAAGTTTAATGTCATTTGGCTTATATTAATCCTTATACTCTTTAAGAAGTGTCAAAGTATGATTAATGGGGTCCCGGGTTATATTGACCCGTCAGACTGTATTTATTTGCTTTGATATTATTATGGAGTAAGATGAATTTTTGGCCAAAACTTACTTTAACTTATGTATAAATGATCTCAAGGTCAAGTGGGAGAATGTTGGAAAATATTCCATTTAAATGCCCTTGGACCATTTATATAATTTAATAAATATTGGGGACATTTATGTCTTACCATTAAGTTTGCCATATGACATATTTGGTCTCTTTATTTATGTATAGTTAACATATGATGGATATGTTTTAACATTAAATAATACATAAGGGGCCAATTGGGTTTCTCTTTGATACAAAACATAAATGACCGCTCGTTCCATTCTTACGACAAATGAGAAGGGGCGTGTCTCCTCCCAAGGGTCACAAGAACACCTATAATAAGAGACCCAAGGGAGACTTAAAAATCCATCGAATTTGTTGTTTGTATCCTTAGAGAATCCACACATCCATGGCTATGGCTTCATCATCTTCTACAACACAATCAAAGCATGGTTTCTCCCCAACCGGTTAGTGTTCTTATTGTTTGATTATATGAATTTTATCATGTTTTAGTGAGATTAGATCCTTAATTGGGACTGAATTTCTCTTCAACCAAATCCTCCAACCACCGACAACATTAGTAACTTCATCGTCTGTATCTGCAAAAACGTTATTCCAAACGTACCCATCCCATACTTTTAGTTGGCTTACATCAGTTACATGCCTACATATATAACACAAATTTGAATGAAAATGTGGTGATATTTTTGTAAATAAGTGAAACGTTTTATGAAATTACAAAAGCGTAGTATTTGATGGAACAGAAACGTGCATCGTAGCACATTAGCGCTATAAAGTGACAATTTCACATCTTACACGTTAAACTCCATTTTTATTTGAACTGTCCGGTTATTTGAATTGTGCTAATATTATTCCTGGAAAAGAAATGGACAAAATGTGATTTGATAACTCTTACCAATTATAATTGTTTTCAAAGTTACTATGATGTAGTGATTATGATGCAAGTCTTAAACACAATTATACATAGTTTTTTCACTAAAAATTATTCCGTACTAATTAACTCACATTTTCATCCATAATTTTTCTCAGTAATTTTGTTTGAATATTCTCTCAAAACAAACCATAAAACTAAAAATACTCTCTCCCTACTTATATAAAGGTCCTCATTCATTTTACACACATTTTAAGAAAGTGAGGTTGTTCGCCGCCATTGTTTGACATGGTTAGACGACATTGTTTGATACTGTTACACTATTTTGTTTACTATCCGGCGCACTACTCATTTATACATCTATCCATTTCACAGATTTTTTAATCATATTCAGTGTCAAACTTAGGAGCCGTTTACTTTCTTGCTTAAGAAACGATGCTTATTTAGCCTGGGTTTAGTAAGCGTTGCTTACTACACGAGTGTTTATTAAGCATGGGTTTGAATAACAACAAACATGTTTACTTCATCAACCTTAAAGAATAGCTTATATTTAAAATGACATAAATAACCTTAAAACTTACTCCCTCATTTCATTTCTACTGCTTTATCCATGAGAGACAAAACATCGCTCCCATCTCCATCGAAGAAGCCGCTCCCATCTCCATCGAAGAAGCCGCTACCATCTCCATCGAAGAAGCAAGTTGGACGTGTTGACCATCTCTAGCCCTCCAGGTATTACTTTCTTCTTCCATTTTCACTTCGATTGAACAAGGTCCCTCTACTCCTTGTTCGAAATCGGCAATCGGCAATGCTTGGAGAAAGATAGGCGATGGTGTTCTACCCTATGGGAGATGTCAGGATAAGATAGGGTATGGCTGTAAATAAAATTTTCCTACGATGAAAGCTAGGGACACGCTCGTCAATAAGAAAAAGCTAAACTTACCGATTAAATAAAACATGGGGGGGGCGTCGCTTTAGTAACCGGCGAGTTAAGAGGCTATTGTGCGTCCTAAGCAGGGAATTAGCCGTCGATTCTGTTTACTTCAGACGCCTTATTAAGCCAGCAGCATCCTAAACAGCAAAGTAAACGGCTCCTTAGTGTCAACTTTTTTGGACTCAAAAGTTAATAAAGTTTGATAACATGACACTTTACCTTTAATGATTACTAGTGGACGGGTAGAGGGGCATGAGGAAAAAGATAACTGTGACTTTGTACGTATATTTAAATGGAAAGAAAATTTAATCACGATTTTTAACCAAAAAGTATTTGGCAAAATGGAAAGTCACTTTCAGCTTGGGACCATGCACGTTAAAATGGAAAGATGTAACCCGGACATACACAAGGAATAATATTTATGTGAAGGACAGAATGTGGGTTGAATAAGAAATTGACTAAAAAATGAAGAAAAAAATAAGTTTCTCTGGACTCCAATCCACCATAGTCCACACCTATGTTTAAAAAACCGACCCGACCCGGCCGGGTTGACCCGGAACCCGGTGACCCGGACAAAAATCCGGTTCGGTTTCTTCAAAACCCGAAAATGGTCAAAAACCGGAAAAACCCGGCTGACCCAAAAAAATCCGACCCGGCCGGGTTGACCCGGAACCCGGTGACCCGGACAAAAATCCGGTTCGGTTTCTTCAAAACCCGAAAATGGTCAAAAACCGGAAAAACCCGGCTGACCCAAAAAAATCCGATCCGGACCCGACCCAAGAAACCCGAAAAACCCGGTTTTCTGTCTTTTCCAAAAAAAAAAGTAATTTCTTTTTTAATTTTAATGCATTTTTTAAACCAATAAAATTGCAATTTCAATTCCCTAAAAAGAAAAACTATGTAATATATTTATATATTTATTTAAGAATGAAAATCATGCCAAATTATAATATAAATGTACAATACAAATAAAAATATATAATGAGAGTGTATATAATTATATGTTTATTATTATTATTATATAGACGTATAATCGTTGACCGGTTTTCCGGCTTTGACCGGGCTGACCCTCCGGGTCCGGGCTGACCCTCCGGGTCCGAGTTGACCCGTGACCCAGTCACATGACCGGGTCGCTCACCGGTCCGGTTTTTACAACATAGGTCCACACATAGATTTTTCCCTATTTGTGCGTTTCGAATTTGTTTATATTTTACAAATTTAATATACTTGTGTATGACTATTGAAAGTAATTAATTAGTAATAACTGAAAATTAAACAATCAATTAATTACCCTGGATTTTTTTGAAGAGTAGAAGAGATAGAAGCCAACGTAGAGGGTTTCGATGAAGCAGCCGAAGGAGTTGATCGTAATGAGGAGAGTCGTGTTGGTTTTGAGAAAAGCATAGTAAATCCAAAGCATAGCACTGAAGAGAGCAACCACATATGGTATTGATTGAAATCCCACTGTTGATTTCTTTTTGTATATTTGATGGAAGGTAGGCCTGCATGCATGCATGGAATATATATAATGTCAAAGTCGTATTTTCTGAATTACTAATTAATACATTAAAATATGTATTCAGAAGAAAATTAAATGAGCAAGGAGTACTCACATTGGAGCAAGGAATACGAAGAAGGATACGATATTCCCTGTTAATTTCCAGCAAAGCAAAGGTTAATAATATCATTTTTTTATTTAAAAATGTTTCATTTTTCTAAGCACAAATACAAGATGTAACTCTAAAATGAAGAAGAAAAATATCAATTCACATACAAGCTAAATTTGTGTGGAAAGAAAAGTGTACAAGTCCGTACAAAACAAACTTCTACATGTAACAAGGGTTAGGTTACAGGGCCCGGCGAGTCAGCGACTCGGCAGACACTATTTATATTTAAAGAAATGTATACTCCAAAATATGTTTCTCATGCTCGATCAAAACAATTAAGTGGTCACTTTTTTTTTGGATTTTCCAAAATAAAGGTATTCTCATTTCTACAAAAAGTAATAAGAAGGTGTGTTGCAAAAAAAACAAACTTACCTTTTACATACTTTTGCTTTGAATTGATACGGAGTATAAAACAGTGTATAACCAAAAATTTAAACCAAACTTTGTACGGAGTAACTTTGTAGTCTTTGTAGGACTACATTGCTAACATCCATAGTTGTGATTCTCCGGTTAGAACTTATTTAATTTTTAAAATTATAAAATAATTCAAATGATCCTTAGTAACATCTGATCAGTTGAATACGAAAGAGTTGGAGGCAGTAGGCAGGACTTTTATACGTAGTATATCGCTTTGGTGCATGCGAGAAGAGCTTTTAATCTTTTTAGGTTGCGGTTCTCTACACTTTGAAATCCAGAGGTCCTTTTATTTATTTTTTCTTATAATCTATTTGATGTGCCTATTTAGACTAGTTTGGAAAAGTATTTTAATTTACGACCAAATTTCAAAGTGGGAAACTCCTATAGGCCAGGATATAATATTTGGATTTTAATTTAACTAGGCGCATAATAAACACCCACTTTGTTACTTTGTTATGATTACATACGAGTTTATTCGAATATGAAATCCAATCTGAAAATTACTTTTCTAACTATTTCTATTAAAACTATTTCTAACTATTTTTATTATTAAATGCATGCTTCTAATATGAAAATTCTAGTTGAGAGGTACTATTTACTGGAGAACAACTACCCAATCTAGTACTCTCTCCATATCAAAGAAATCTCTCTTTTGAAATATCACAATAATCATTATGAAATAGGGGCATCACGGGCCTCTCACATGATGTATTAAGCTTTAAAATATAGGAAAAATTGATAGTAATAATTCTGGCGGTCCGCTTATAATAATCCCAACTATCAATTATCTCAGAATAATCTCAACTTTAGGACCTTCCGCCAATAATGGTCCCTATAAATAAATTCATGTAGTTTCTAAAGTGGATGAGAAGAGATATAACAAGTAATCCCTATCAATAATCCCAACTTTTAATTTTTACGCTTAATTTCTATTGAAAATTCAGTTGTTATAAGAAGTACTATCGTAGTATTTTGTCATGGATCATTATTGGCGGACGGACCATATAGTTGGGATTATACAAAAATAATCAATAGTTAGGATTATTGTCAGCGGACCGGCAATAGTTGGGATTATTATTTTCAATTTTTCCTAAAATATATAATTCCCTTAACTTTGCCTCTTTTAGAGAATACTTATGGTACATCATTAATTATAGGGATATTTTGACGTCGCATGCATCACGCTTTTTGGTTGATATTGAATTTTACACTTTGCACCATGTATTTCTTCACTTAATGTTATACGATAGAGTGCAAAGTCTATTATTATTAAAATGACTAGTTATTGCGTCGCGCGATGCGCGATGAAGAGGATGCCCAATAGTATATATGAACTATTAATATTAAGCCGTATTGTGTGTGTGTAGAATAAAGATCAAATGAGAACAATGTTTAACGTGAGAACATGAGAACACCACATTTACCCCAATGTGATGCACAATGAAGCTCGCCCAATGCACACTTTCGTGTTCGGCATAGTATTTACCAGATTGCCACCGTGATTAATTATATAGGCTTGTTTTCAACAAAGTCAAAATGTGCACTAGATGGGCTCTTTTGTGTATCACGTTGGGTTAATTGTGAGTGTTCTCACGTTAAGCATTGTTCTCATTGGAACCGCACCCTGTGTGTGTGTGTGTGTGTGTGTGTGTAGGAAGCGGTTCCAGTATGAACGGACTCCCAGGAGAAATGAGAATGAACTTGGACCGTTGGATTGTATTATGTGGAATTGAATTGTGCATTTTGTGAAACTGAAATGTGCATTAGATGATGTTGAAATATCCAGAATAAAAATTTAAACTCAAGTGTGCATTAGGTAAAATTGAAATGTGTGGAATCAGAGGTACAAAAACAACACCGTGAAATGTGGAGTGCTTTGAATTCTTAAAAAGTGGTAGAAGTTTTGTACTACTTATTTATTTGGCAAAGACAGATGTTGCCAAACGCTTTTGCAAATGATCAATTTTTATCCCAATTGTGTTCAAATTTAAGTTATTTAATACAGAATGATAGCAAAATGCAACCTCGAACCATACTTGCTTGGTTTATTAGCCTTATCTGATTTAATACCCTTCAGGAAGGTTGTACTAACACATTTATGTCTCTAAGGAACCCTAACAACATTTTTATGGAAATCTGCAAAATAAAGTGAAAGAGATTGTAGAAAGTAATGAAAGCCTCAGGCTTCCTAAAATTCGGAAGCTATTCACCTCAACTCACTGTTTATTTCATTAGCTCTTCCTCTAGAAATTTATAACTTTTTTCAGGATTGATTACTCAACTTGATCATGCATATATTCTAAATAGTGTTTACATCTAGAATTTAATGAATTACTACCTCCGTCCCACTAAGATTGGGACGGAAGAAGGTGTCACGATTATTAAGAAAAGTGGATTTCTGTGGTTGATATTAAATTGATAAAGAATAAAGTAAGAATGGTTTAGAGCCACACAATCTTTACCAAATTTGGAGAATCTTAGTGGGACTTACAGAAAAGGTAAAACAGACAATAGAAGCACATAGTGTGTTATTTTACCTTTTCAAGGTATTTCGAAACTGTAAGCAAAACAAACAACTTTAATTTTTTTGCAAACCTTAGTGCTTCCATATATCTGGATTTCTTTAAGTCTTGAAGAAGTAGATTCTACATGCTTGTAAAAAATTACAAGTCAAATAAATATGAACGTATAGCTAAATTTGCCTTCAGTTAGAACAACTTGTATAATGCATTGATTTAGTGGAAGGCAGAGAGACTTTCGTAGCATTGAAGAGAGCCTCAGTAATAATCTGCAGGGGTTAGACTCCATAACACGCAGTTATAGAGTCTTCAATTGTAAAATGTAAGATTATACAATTGACATTTATATAAAATTATAGCTGTAAGATTAGTAAACTGAAAATGCTAAATTAATTGTCTATGTTCTTTTAAATTTCTTTCTTCTAGTCACTATTTTTTTTCAATAATACCATTTCTGGTCTTTAAAAGACAAACACAAATCTGTGATGCAATATATAGAACCAGGAAATAAAAAATGTAAACCAACAAGAATTCTCCTAGTTGTTGTTAGTTTGTTACTTTTAACCAAAAAAACGAACCTTCATACAGGCCAACATTTTCTTCCTTAAGCAAGTGGTTCAGTGGTGTGTGGTTTATGTGTGTGTGAGAGAGAGGTTATTATTTTACTTTCCTATAGTGGTTTAATTAACACTAATTGAGTATCTTGCTTAATTAAGCTTTAATGCTTTATTCATATTTTTTCTTTTTTTATTCATGAGCAAACGTGCCAAACCCATTAGCTTGTGTCTCCTCTACCTCTTTGATTCTGTGTATTACTTTAGTCCTTGCAAACAGTGCACAGAGTTATCCATTTCATTGAAAGTATGGCTTCAAAGAAGGAAACACGACCAACAAGAAAATAATATGTAATTGAATCGAGTACATTTACTTCAAGAAATGATGTCTCCCTTTCCACGAAAAGGGAAAATGTTTTCACACCAATAATATACATGAATCGAGTACACCATGAAATGTACTCCCTCCGTCCCCTTTTAAATGGGACGGGAGACGGTGGCACGAGTTTCAAGAAAAGTGAGTTTGTGTGGTTGATATTAATTGATAAAGTAATAATAAAGTAAGAATGATTTTGAGCCACACAAAGTTTACCAAATAAGGTATGGGGCAATTAAATAGGGACATCCCAATATGGTAAAACGGGACATTTAAAAGGGGACAGAGGGAGTATCTAGGTTTCGTAATCTCTATGAATATTGGCATGAATGAATGAAATGAATATCTGATATGAACAGGTAAAAAAAACCATTTATTTTTAAGCCCATATATTTACCTGCAATGTCTATCATTTTCTTCATTGTTCAATTTCTATGTCATATATAAGTTCGATCTCTATTTAAGCACCTCACTCCTTTTTTAGGCAGATAAAGTTATGATACTTTATGTAATCTATACACAAAATCCCGTGACGGTTCTTCCAAAAAGATTCACACAAGATATTCGTGCAGCATATTTCATTTTTAAACTGATGACATTGCCTTTGTATATAATAACTACTTAAACTTTGTTAAAATTCTTGATCTATTAAGCGTTTTTTTAAACTGTATGAAGGGTTGATCTATATTTATTCTTTTTAACACTGATTTCATATATTCATGTTCGCTAGACTTCAAACTCTTTTGGAACTAAGACTTAAATGTTGTTGTAAGCATTCTTGTTTTTAAACAAGATACGATAACCTACAAGTTTTAAAAAATTGGCATTACCCCAATTAAGATGAAAATGAACTTCAAAGAATAAAAATTATGAAATGTGGTCTCAAATACTTTTGATATTTGTCTTCTTTTTGTTCAATAGTAAATGAACTTCAATGAATCTTATTCTATTATTATTATGGTTATTATAATGATCTTGGTTGTTTTATTTCCCCACATACAATCTATGCTACAAATATTTTATTCGTGAAGTTTCTTTATTAATTTCTAACAAACTATGTATACAAATAGTTTACTCATAATACCCACATATTCTCTCAACATAAATGGTCTTGGACATTTACAAGAACGCACACCTCTCTCTAACAAAACTTGTGGAATATTTTAGGCTTCATTTGACTTTGGAGGTATTCTGTCGGCAACAAAGTTTATATTTCTCAATTTTGGGCTACTATGTTTAACAGGTCGGCTTGTCGTTCCGCTCCTAATCCTTTGTAGCATCGTTTTTAAGGGGGCAGGCTACAGCCCTCCCCATTTAGTTTTTTGTATATCCCATCTTTTAAATAAAATTCTGGAAAATGCACCAGACACTTTGCCTACTGTTAAAAGTGATTCTTTTGGGCAAAAAAAAGGTCAAAGTACAATTATATATATAATGGACCATTGTCAATTATTCTAGTAAAGAGTACATAAAAGCATGTAATGAAAAGGCATAAGATGTCGGTTTTCAAAACAAAAAATAGAGCATAATAGCCAAGGTCTCTGTAGTGTCAACCCTCACTATAGCTCCCAACAATCATGACCCAGGTTTGCAGATCACACGTACAAGGACCTTAGCAGATAAAGCTCAAGTAGATTTATTATATTTGAGATCTCACTAAAGGTTGAAGCTATTTTATGACATCCACTTGCAAAAGGGATGAGAAATGAGGAAAAACATGCTTTTGATAAAATAGTGTTTTTATTAGCAAATGCTTCTAATGATCATGAAAAGGGCATGATTATCAAATGTCAAAGTACAGAGAATTGTTATGGCAAGTGCTAGAAAAAAATGAGGGTAATAATTACATTGCTGTAAATCAGAGAGTGAGAGCTTCTTATTAGCTACCTACCAATCTTCTCAACAGAAAATTAAAAACAAAGTCTTTAGCTACAAATGAAACCAAATTAAAACCAGATACATTAGTGTGAGATAAACTTAATTTCTAGAGAATATTTTAGACCCAATTTAATATGATATCAAATTATCAATGTTTGATCAGATAGCCCTATCTGGACACATGAAGTGTGAAGTATAACGTCTTATATCAGATATTTACAAGTTTGAGTCTAAAACATAAGTATGAGGTAAACATTATGTCAAAAAAAAACCTCATACAATATGCTAGACCTAATATAATACTAACTTAAACATTAAACTGAAGAAGCAATACCTGTCTAGCTGCAGCTTTCTGGACAAAAGAGGGATCCAACCTTTTACTATTATTATTATTATCACTTGAATCATATAAAAGACAAGAATTTCTCTTAGAGAAAGCATGCATATGTATCTTTTCCAAAGCCAATTCTCTTTCACTCCAATCAGTTTCAGGATAATCATCCATTTCACTATGGCCATTAAACTTGCTGAAATCCCTAACTGCACCTTGGCTTGGCCACAAACACCGGCTATACTGTGAAGCTTTAGACTTCTTCTTCTTCTTCTTCAAAGGCTTCTTCTTCCATCCATCTTTGCTGCTTATACCCAAAGAATACTCTGATTCTCTCTTCTTATCCCCATCAACACTATTTGAAGGAGAAAAGTTAAGAATATGTAAAGAATATATTTACCAAGCAGACATAGTCAACCAAACATGTTAACAAACACACAGTATAAAGAATTAAGCACAAAATGAAGAGGTAAATTGGGTTAAAGTTAACAGTGAACCATTGAATCATTAGGTAAACAAAATTATTTTGTTAAAATTGGATTAGCTTCTACTCCTATCAATTCGATTATTTTGAAATAGCTAATCCAATATCCTAAATTTATTTTTGTTTCAAGCTCAAAATAGGTTTAGGCATAAGTCGACAAAGTCCAAGAATGGGGGATTACGGGATAAAAGATGAAGGGAGTGAAGCCTCACCTGCAATAATCAAACATCCCAGAAGTCCACAAGTCCAGGAAACTATCAGCTTATAGGAGAGGAGAAGATGAAGGGAGTGAAGCCGCATGATCGAGGAACCCCAGCGCCGATTTCTGGACTGAAGGTTTGAACCCTGGGAAGAGATGCTCAGTTAAGCGAAGAAATGAGGTTTGTATACTGTATATGAATTGAATTCATAGGAGTCGGAACTCAGAAGTAGAGCTACGAACGAGACGTGAAGTTAAACACGACGAAGTCTACGAACAGGTGGTTTAATTAACGGAAGTCTGGAGTAGAGAGTACTGAAGAAACCAGAAAGGTACTATGCCCTTACAATAATGTACAACTCCATCTAGCTACACTATACTACCAACAATTTTTTTTTCCCAAAAGGGTATTAACCCTCATTCACCGTTATAATATTTTAGATGTGTAAAATCCAATATCACTAAAAAAAAAGTGGGCGTAAAGTCAAAATTCTCCATCAATCCATCATGGTATTATATTCAATGATGACAAACCTTCTTACGCCTCTTGTTGATCGAAATACATGTAGTAATTAAAGGAGGCCATATGCAACAATTGAAACAACACTTTTGGTGGTTATAATTACTACTGTAAAACAGTTTGATAACCAAATAAAGTAGTTAATATACTACGTAATACATTAAGTAGTAATTAAAGTAATTAAATTACCACATATGCCAAACGCAAGAGTCCAATGATCACCCGAGAAAATAGCCATGCTTCAATTCCCAAGTACGTACAATTAGCTAGCTTAAGCTTACTAATGTTTAGATTAGAAGATAAGAGTACAGCTAAGAAGCTAGATTTGCTTGACAATGAAATGACGAGGTGCATGCTTAATCTATTTATATAGGGGTGGCAAAGCACTCAAACACTTCTATAAGCGCATGATATGTATTTATTATTATTTATATCTTTAATAAAATGCACAATACATTTAGCAAAGTTAAGTGTCTTTTTGGTAAGCAATTGAGCATAATAGTCAAAATAATCACATGATTAAGTGTCTTTAACTTACATATTTGACAAATTCTATATTATGGTACTTCAATTAAGATAACGTACCTTGTTTTAAAGTGTCAATTAGAATATACTACGTATATTGCAATTGATCGAACTTTTAAAAAATGAATCTATCAATGATGAGATAATAACTTCAATCAATTAAATGTAATGCAAGTAAGATATTCTCATTTAATTGTGAGATATCGTAGCATTCACCTACTTATTTTTGGCTAAAGATTTATCTCAATTTTACTAAATAATTGAGATCGAGTAAAATCAATAAAAAAGGCTTACCAAACACTACGCTCAAACCCGTACTTGCTGTATATTCATAGGTAAAATGCACATTATTCCCAGTAGAGGTCGTTTTTACAATTTAGATTAAAACGGCTAAAATTTAAAATTTGTGATTAAATAATATTTTATCAAATTTTGCATTTTTTTTGCGTGAGAGCATTTCTAATGTAATGTAATCATGTGTATGGTGGACATGTGGTATGAGATATATAGACACATCAAATTGAATTGTGAAGTTTCTCTCTTTATTTGATGGCATTTTATATTTTAATTATTTTATATCAACAATGTCAAACATAATGCGGAGTAAAATTACCAAAATATGATAAAACTTTTTAAATAAGGAGGGATTAAACTTAATAATTTGATAAAATTTGATATCATGTCACGTGTGCACCACACACATTGTTGTATTGGAGATGCCTTTATAACTAAATTTTCAGAGCTTATAAGGAGATAGGTTTAGATGTCATAGAACTCGATATAGTGATTAGTCTTATATATCCTACTAGTTATAGCTTAAATTCTATCTTTCTCTTAGCTTTTGATATTCAATGCACTTTTAACAAAAACAATTAAATACTAATGTCATTATTCGTAATTCCTTAATAAATTATTCATTATAATTTAAAGATATATAGGTAGTTATTCATCTAGTTATATGTAGTAGTTACTTATTACGTACGATGTACTCCTTTTATATAAATTAAAGTAAATGAGTTGAAAATCAAGCATCTTCAATATAATGCCGTGACACTAGTAAGTTATTAGTATATGTTATAAAATGAAATTAAAGTTTGTGACTTTTAATGCAAAAAGGCACAATAAAAAAGTTTTGGTCCCACCCAAGGTCTTTATTAGGTCATTAGCCCCACGAAATGGCACTATGGCTTAATACGTGACACTCGCTTTATAAACATGGAAGTGTTTGCGTCTTTCCTTGTTTTGATTTATTTTTGTGGCCTAGAAAATAATTGAATGAGTCGATGACCTCTTGCCATTTGGAATCAATAATTGAGGCAATTGGATTGTTGTTTGTACTATTAATTTCCCATCATATTAGAGGACATGAATTTCGGCAAAATATAATGGGTGATGTAATTAATGATCAAGAGATATATGCGTATGTGCTTTACATATGTGCTTTAGTTTTATTTTGTTTTCAATGGTCTTATCTATTCTTTGTGGTTATGTGACTTATGTCTTATATATAGAGAGAGTTATAGGGTTGGTCTAGGAGTGAAATGAAAGGTGATGATATAGAGCAGCCTACTCGCTTTTGTCTTCTCGTGAAAATGTGAAATAGGTAAAGTGTGTTAAACACTTTGGGTGCGCATGCATGATTAAGTTAAGTATAATTTCTTGTGTTAAACACTTTAAGCTGTACTTTTAACATTATCATTATGATGGTTGATGGCATTGTTATTCTGTAACATTTTTCTGTTATGAAATATGAATTCTTATACATTTGGTAAAGTGTAATTTATGTCGTTAAACACTTGTGACTTCTCTTTCAGTGTAAAAAGTAATCAAATTGATACAATTTATTGACATGAAGTTTTAGAACACATATCTGTCAAATATAATCTGACAAAATATTAGACCTCAGCTTGACATAGGAGCAAAAACGTTTTGAAATTCCAAAATAGGAGTGTCATGTTTTTTATTCCCTAAATAGGAGTAATCTGCCTAAGTTTGGAAGAAAATGTCATGTTTTAAAGCCTAAAAATTCCAAACTTGGCACAAATTTACTCTTATTTAGGGAATAAAAACATGATACTCATATTTTGGAATTTCGAAACTTATTTACTCCTATTTAGGGAATTCTCTCATTCACATATACTACCTTCATTCTTTTTTATTTGCAACATGTTAAATTTTACATTATTCGCATAATTTACTTTTGTCTACGTACATTTGTAATTCATGTATTATAAATTTCATTTTTGAAAGATATTGCTAAATTCCCCTCATTTCAAATTTTCAATATCTGATTTTTTAATTTTTTTTTTACTAATGAGAAATGTTGTATATGAACGGTCAAATATGTGCGCTCACAAACGTGAAAATGAAATGTTGCAACTAAAAAGAACGGATGAAGCACATATAATTTTCTCATTTATCAATATATAATAAATACAATTCTTCACGCAAGAAACGTGGATATATAATCATATATTGCGACTTTGTAGTCTAGGCCAACTATATATGTTGGGAATTTCAGTGTTTAATTAATTTCAATCATTGGTAGTGCAATTGTCTATTGAGCCAACCTTGCAAGAAATAAATATTGGCAGTTTGAATACAAATATGCAATAATATATACCACAATTAGTTTCCCATATATACATACATTATCTAGATCCCCAACTTTCCTTTTGCATCTGATAGATAAGATGATCTCCCGTTATATATGGCTTTCTCTCCATATACAAGAAAAAAGAAGTAATAATTGAGGGGAAAAGTTTGACATTATATTGCAAGAGACAACGAACCCTCCTCCCAAACAGCCCTGGCCCTGGCCGGGTCTTCACTTTTTGGAGTTTCAAAGAACGTAACTCAGTTAGTAGCCGCCGCTATAGATATGCATGCTTTAATTCGATTAATCTCTTCCATTTGTATACGTTTTCTGCAATAGCTAGAGGGGTCCTGCTGCCCAGTCCTCTACTCCAAAAATTAAAATGCTCACAAATTAATAATATATAGATAAAGTTTTAAAATAAGACTGAGTATGTTTTCTTTACCAAATATAACTTATTTATTAGTCATATTACAAGAATAAAAACTTTCTTTAGATGGGTACAATGCATAAATAGTGTCTTAGCTACTAATATTGTTGCATTTTGGTACAAAAAAAAGCATATATGACGGGCAAAATTTCATGGTTAGAGTTGATCATACAATATTGACATGGATAAAAGTAATGTAAAGTGACTCAACACATGGAATTTAGGCCACCACTTGGTCATGGTGATTGATTAAGGCTGAACCCCTGTTGAGCCTACCTTCAGAGCATCAGGTGCTCACATGGCCATATTATGGCTTCGAGCCTATTTGCCCCGAGCGTACATGCTCCTTGGTGTGGGCTCGCACCTCCCTAGAGTTGTTAGGCCAATTACATAACGAGTATGAGTCCATAACTTCTGATATTTCAAAGTATGCATAAAAGAAGTATGTGGTATTCTTGGTGTCTGATGTATTTCAAAGTATGCATAAAAAGGCGCATAAATTGGGACAAAGTAATTATTTTATCAATGGGGATCCTAGTGTTGCGGCCTTGGTCGTAACACTAAGCATTCAGTTTAGATATAGTTGTACACAATTGCAATAAAGGGTGAATAACCATCCCGATTTTGAACCAGTGCCGATCACCAATTTACCTTAAAAACAATCATTTCTATAAACATTAAACAGAACTAGGATCCATGGTATTTATGTCCCGCTTCCTTAAAAACAGGACCCTCACCCCACCCCATCTGGCTAATTAGGATTTAAATTAGTCCCCATCGCAATTGTCTTAAATTAAGAATGGCATTTTGCGCATTCAAGATGTTAAACACTAAAAAATGCAGCATCTTCATACAGCATTTTGGTGGAAATGCTGATTTCCAAACAAAGCTTTCCCTTTTCAAGGTGATGGTCAAAGTGACCTACAGAAGTAGGAGTTTTTGAGTAGCCAACCCACTGTTTCCGCGTTCAACTTTTTTGAGAGACTAATACCTGACAGTCTGTGTTGATTGTATAATATATTAGATAGAGAAAAAGCAAGCAGCTTGAACTCATGCTAAACATCCTTTGAAACCTTTCCTCAGTGCAGTTTCATCAAGGTTTCGGCCTATAAAGACAAGCTTGTTTATTCTTTTCTCTTCTGGATCCCAATTCTTTCCTGGGCAGCCATCTAAAACGGAATGCACACCCTAAAAATGAACAAGAGATTTAGAAATGCGTAATGAATGCGCAGATTTGTTGAATTACAAACCAAGCAAACCCCAATTCGGAACCACCCCTCCATTGTCGCTTTGCATTAACTGAAATACATATCGTTGTTCAGAACCACTCACAGACAAAACCCCTTTCATCCTGTATAGGTCATCACCTTTTTCCTCTAGGAGTCTTTCCAGCCAGTCATCAACCTATATCATGCAAGATGATAGATATTACGTAGTAATATTTTAGGATTCCATCATAACATATCAGAACAGGAGGTCCAAAATCTTATAATATGTATATAAATTTGTCATTTTAGATTTGGTCAACATGGGATGGCTTAACACTCAGGGTTCCATCACACAAAGAGTGTTTTTACTTTTTTTTAGGGAAAGGGTGTTTTTACTTAGACTTATTTCAATCCTAGATCAGATCAGACCTGACTCAAACAGACGAGACCAGACTTAAACAAAACAGACTTTGACAGTTGTAAAATACACATAGACCAGACATCTACCAGACCAGACTAGACAGAAAAATTTCAGTTCAATTAAAAAACATCCAAAGTCAGACTTAACATATTAAGACTCGTATTTCCATCCTAAAAGATCGACCTCATAATTGGAAAAACTCAAAGCTTTATATGGTTGGTTTGCTATTTTATATTTAGTCAGTATGGGAAATACTCTTCAATAATCCTTGCCATATGAGTATATGACCATTGTTTCTATAGTGCAATTCTTTCCATTAGGACAAACCTTACACAGACACTATTAGTGAAATACATTCACCAGGAAACAGACACCATGCCCAAACACAATAGCTGACGTTCTTTTCCATGTAGAAATGACCAATGAAGCTGGCGTTTTTAAAAATTAAAATATTCATCTCATTATTACTTCTTATGAAGGTCATATGAAGAGTAAGTTAAGATATTGCTACTACGGACAAACTTATAAACAATTAAATGGCACTGTAAACATAATAGTAAAACTCATCACAATTAACATTGAGAATACCTCATCTAAATCTAAGGTTCCCTCAGAAACGATGCTGACGCTGGTCACAGCCGAATCATGCACGTGATCATGATGGTGCCCTTTGTGATGTTCTGCCCAAAACATTGTATACCATTAACACACCACAGTAAATGAGTAAAGGCACCTTGAGCCAATCATATGATGAAACTTCAAATAGTTTAGTTAAAGAGCAAAGGATTAGATGCATCAAAATAAAAGTACATCAAAGTTGCGGAAATCAACTACCATTGTCATCTTTATGGTGATGCTTGCAATGAGAGCCTTCTGACTGAACTTCTGAATCAATTCTTCATAAAAAAAAACATGAATAGAGCATCAGATACATACATTTCAAATAGATTCATTTATGATATGATGCATACATGCACAAATAAACTACATTCATAACCAAAATGTTCATTTTACAGGTAAGATTACCTATCAAGATCATAGCCTCCAACTCCCAGAATGAAGTCCATATCAACTACCCCAAATTTTGCTCTCTTTATTTGCGCCATCCCATTTATATGCTGAAACATTATGAAGCTTGCCATAGTGAACGTGAAAATATTATAAAAACTATCCACAAAATGGTAATTTAAAGACCCGTATTGATCCAATCAGCAAAAACAGAACACATTTGACTGGTAACTGTTGGCAGGATGAAGGGTTTCTGAAGAAAATGGGGGAATAAAGAACCATATTAATCCTTCCTGAAAAAAACTAAGCATCTTTATGTGTCTTACATAACTGCTTAGAGCATGTTTACTTCACGGGTTACTAAGCGGTGCTTATTACGACTTGCGCTAATAAGCAGCGCTTAAAATAAGCAGTGCTATAAGCTCATGTTTACTTCATATGATTTAAAACATCATTTAACATTAAAATGTCCAAAATAACCGTGTACATATATAGACACCCAAACATTCATGTACACAAGTATATACTATATATATATATAATACATGGGTGCCTACCCCCTACTCCCCTATCACCCTGTACGCGTATCCATACCCCTACCCCTCTACGGCTCTACCCCTACCTCCAATTCCAACCCTACACCCTACACCTTCCCTACCCAACCCCCTACCCTTGCCACACCCTGAGCCGGTGCCCGCACCCCTACACGTATCCACTCCTACCCCTACTTGTCCCCGTACCCCTAAACCCCCTTACCCCTTCCCCTACCCATTACGCATCCATACCCGAGGGTAGGGTGAGGGTAGGGTAGGGGTCGGGGTGTGTTTGGGTAAGATAGGGTAGGTAGGGACGGGGGTTAAGGGGTGGTGGGTAGAGATAGGGTTACAGGTAGGGGTAAAAGTAAGGGGTAAGGACAAGGGTAACGACAATGGATGAGGATAAATTCAGAAACTGAAAAAGCTTAAAGTGCAACTTAATTAAGACATGGAGGGTTGGTATGCTTAGTAAGCGACACATTAAACACTTGTTTCGGTTAGTAAGCAGCTAAGTAAGCACGTCTTTAATCTTGTTAAGGGGAATATTCAGATATGGCCTTCTAACATAGACGACTACCTTAATTTTCTTTGCCAATGCCTCCAGGTCAGCCTCAGAAACCAAATCTATCTGTTAAAATTACCATGTATAAAACATTTAGAACCAGTTTCTATAAAAGAGCCTCAACAGCCAAGGGATAAAAATTCAAAATTGCATGGGGAAAGCCGACCGACTAGTAGTGAGAACACATAAGCTTGACCTTGTTCAAAATAATACGATCAGCATAAGCAACTTGTTCCACAGCTTCATTCACTACAAATCTGGGTTTAATCTCAAGTAAATGCTGCATGGCATGTTTCGAGTCAACTAGAGTAACAACTCCATCCAGTTTCACGCGTGCTGAGACCAACTCATCAGAGCAAAATGTTTCAATCACGGGGCCTGGCTTAGCGAGACCTGGGGGTATCACTAACAGAATGATGTGATCTGTTTAACCTTAAAGGTTAAGCTAATAGTTGTCCTACTTTTATCAATTCTATTATAACGCAACATGCTATAAGGAATGTAGTCTGTTATACGTTGAGTCGTTGATCAGACAAACACTACGTGGAAACATATTTTTCATGTAGGTTCGAACCCTGTACCTTTGGTTTGTTTAATTGAACAATGTTATTATGTTTCAACTAAAAATTGAATCTAACAGTTGTACCTCACAAGGCTCACATTACCTTTTAATTTTATTATATCAAGCCACTATATGTATCCCAACCTCAAATTTGAAAATGCATGATTAAGATAAAAACAAAAAAAATAGAGTAAAATTTTGTAATAGAAATTTCACTAGGTACAATAAACATTTAAATAATTCCACCAGAGGCTGGTCTTCCAGTTCCCCATAGATGTGAAGGTAGAAGTGCGGTAAACTTCATCACAATTTCACCCACAAAAGAAAAAGGATAAAACCTCTAAATATGTGTGTACACTATGTAGACATACCTGTGGTCTCAATAACTATATGATCAAATTTGTCTCGTTTTGTCTTGACCAACTCCAAAAGCATTTTAACAAGGTCTCCACGTACAGTGCAGCAAAGACAACCATTATTGACCATGATAATGTCCTCATTAGATGATGAATGACTAGCAACTAACGAACCATCAATGTCCACCTCTCCAAACTACTTAGATCAATAAATCAAGGTAACCTGTTATTATTAATAAAAAGTGTAGCATAGCAAGGGATTACCAACATTCATACTGCAGCTAGACAACCATTGTTGAACAAACCATCAACTCTTTCACCAAACTTTATTGATCAAAGAATTGTGAAATCTCTAATTAATAAGATAAGTTTTCAATACCAATTACTATTGCATCATCTGCTGAAATACAACTATTCCAACTCAAGCTACATAGATGAGTGCACTATATAGACTATAGAGGCAACACCAAAACCAAATGAACAAAGTGGATACATCATAACAACCCACACTAGATATTAAAAGTAAGATTAAACAATCTATAGTAAGGTGGTGGCAGTGAAAGTTCACATTTAATCTAAAAATGTGAGTTCGTGTGTGCGTGTTTACATATATGTATATAAATTTGATCAAATAATAAGTGCACCTCAGGTTTAAAATGGGAATAAATATGGTCCATTAGATTGTAGGTCTTAGAGCTTAAAGGGTCTAAGGAGGGGGGATGAAAAAGCATGGTGGTAGAATCGTAATTAAGCGCAACTTTCTATCCCTTTAATACAAACTTCTTCCACACAATTTTTATTATTCTTATTTCTCACCTAGTTCAGAGCGTGCAAAGTTTTACTAACACGTAATGTTTTACTAAATGTTGTTCCATGCATTGAATGAGTGTAAATCTGGTAAATAACAGAAAGTAAACCCAAATTTAGGGGAATGTAGATAAGACACCATAAACACATCATGAAAGTCGGGAAAGATATACTAAAACCAAATGGCAATAATATACTGTAAATAATAATATGTTCTACGCTCTAAACGTATGCTCTTTCTTGAAATAACAAAATTTGTCTAAACCCCAATGCTATAAATAAAGTCTACTACCTTCAACTCTTCATGTCCATGAGAATTAAGAAGATGTGGAAAGAAATCCCAAAATGCATTCAGCAATTAAATTAATTACTAAAGACAAAAAAAACTAAGAATCCGCAATGGTAACTTCAACTTCAACCCCCGGTTCAATGGTAATTGAGGTAATCTGTTTGACAACTTCGGGTGAGCTGAAGAGGTCAATCACCCTCTTGTGTACGCGAAGTTCAAACCTGTCCCAAGTGTTGGTACCTGTTTCAAACAAAATGTGTCACTTACCGAAATATGGACTCCAGGATTTATCTATCATAAATAGAGTCCATCCCAAATTTCCCATAGAGTTCAAACCCTCGACAACTCCATGTGTCCGGAAATCTAAGAGATATATAGGTTCGGCACAAGTTGGAGGAAAATAAAAGAGATAGTTGAGTCATTATATAATTGTGAGTTTGTAACTTGTAAAAGAAAGAAAATGTAGTATGGCTGCACAAAAAGTAGAAAAAAAATCATAGATAAAAAGAACAGGAGGAAAAATAATAAAGTTACTGGAGTTCAGATTACGAAAGCATTGGGACAGACAAAAAAGGAGAGTACATCGGCCAGAAAGGGACATGACTATTACTCCGTATTCATTATAGTCCATTTACTCCCCTGCACATATTTTACTTTGTTTATCTAGCTCATCTGCTGCTTATTTATTAGTTGACGTCCAAATACAATCCTAAATGGGTCTATAAATTAACAAAAATATCTTGCTGACAGTAATACTATTTTGAACCAAATATGAACCACAGCACAACTATGTCCTCAAATTGCATAGCCAAGGCCGAGGACCAAATTTAGTACTACCTCCATCCCACTACATTTGGTATAAGGAAGGTGATGCACAGTTTTTAAGAAAACTTTGTTTATGTGGTTCATAATCAATAGATAAAGTAAGAACGATAGGGACGAAGGGAGTATTAATCAATGATAGGAACCTACCATTCTTAAAGAAAGTGAAATCGAAATAAAAGAGCAAGAATACCTTCTCCGCATGGAGCCTTTCTAGTAGTAATAAGAAGAACTTTCGTGGGAATCCTAACCGGTCCCTTAACCCTGAGACTCTTGTCCTTGGCGCCTCGGAACAAAATTCATCACAGAAAAACATATGTATCTTAAAGCTAATGTTTTTAAATTAAATACTAAGACAGTTCAGACCATATCTGCCTCCAGGGGCGGAGCTAGGGGAGGGCTAACCCTGGCCCTGGCCCAGCCCGAATTTTAAACGTGTCTAAATTTTTAGTGTAAAAAATTCCGTGTAAATTTTTTTCCAAAAAATATCTTTGTATGGGCACAGTCTGGCCCAGTGCTCTGGCTACGCCCCTGTCTGCCTCCATAGACATGACATTATATTGATTCATTAAATAATGGTGTGTCCAATTTCCAAAAGCGGAAGCATATTGCCTCTAATAGAGACAGAGGAAGGGAGGGACAGGCAAAAGGGTGAGACCTTTTTCAAGGTTCTTGACATTCTTAGAAGAGAGAGTGATTCTGATCTTATGGATTTGCTCCTGGGGCTCCTCCATACCGGGCTTCATTGGCTTCAACGTTGTGTATGCCATTCTTCCAATTTGCTAGGATTGCTAGTAGCTCAAGCCTATATCACAATAAAATCAGCACAATTAGCACAGTTAGGCCTGAGACCGGTTCAGTTCTAGTTAAAAAAAACTAGAACCGTTTTAAAAATTGTAATTTTTAAAATCGGTTCGGTTCCTTTAAAAAAAGTGGAACCATATTAGAACTGAACAAGGTTTGAACGGTTCGGTTCTGGCCTTTTTTCGGTTCCTAAAATTACTATACTTCTTCAAATTTACGCATTGGAAGAAAAGTAAAAAAAAAAAAAAAAAAAAAAAAAAAAAAGATGTCACTCTACTGCAATCACTACACCATCCGCAAAGGCATAAACTATCTTACTGAAAGCATGGGTTAAAACCTGATAAAGTAAAAAATTACTTCGTATATGCCAAAATCATGTCTTTAATTCAATACGGAGTAAAATTGTTTAAAGGCCCAAATCTCTGAAAAATACATAAACTTCTAAGTTGAGAGAAAAGAATTAAAACAGAGACATATATTGTAAGTAATGTAAAGATATACCAATTGTTTAATACGAAGTATAGTTTATGTAATTTCCTCTAAGACCTAAGTGGTCAAGTGGAGTAATATAGCAAATCCTCTAAGACTTCGACCTAAAAAGTATTTGACAAAGATAATTTAATAATTAACACACTTAGCCAAGGTTCGAAATTGCGTATTACATGTTTGAGACGGTTTCTTAGCATTGCCTATTGCGTAAGCCTCATTGCGCAATGAGGCGTAAACCTCAATTTGTTAATAAATTTATTTATATAAAACAAAAAATAATGTAATTAATACTAAACTAAAAGATATTATTCCAATAAAGTAATTAATACTAGAGTAAAAGAATATTAATGTAACTAATGTCATAATAATGAAAACATCCAAAATTGAGGTCATAACCCATCCAAGAAATATGTTCTAACATTATTCAAAATAAATATTTTCTAATTTATTAATAATATTTTGCATCCAGTCATCGAGTAGGTATTAAGGCGGTAACAAATTCCACTAAGGTGGCAAAAAAAATTATATGTTCCACTGATGTATTAAAATAAAAAAGAAGAATCAATATAATTACTCCTAATAAAAAATCCACTACGTGATATATCAATAAAAATTATACGAGTACAAAGCAAGGTTCGAAATTGCGTATTGCGTGTTTGAGGCGGTTTCTTAGCATTGCCTATTGCGTAAGCCTCATTGCGCAATGAGGCGTAAGCCTCAATTTTTTAACAAATTTATTAATATAAAAGAACAAATAATGTAATTAATACTTGAGTAAAAGAATAATTAAAAGTTAACTAATGTCATAATGAAAACATCCAAAACTGAGGTCATAAACCCATCCAAAAATATGTTTTAACATCATTTAAAATAAATATTTTCTAATTTATTAAAGTTCTAGTCCTTCCTATTAGATTGAAGAGTCTACTGACTAACAAAAAAACTAATAAAATAATACATAGCTTAAGATTCATCCACTAATCTACTGTCTAACCTTGTAAAATCATACGTGGTATTATTATTGATCCACTAACTTATAATTAATACTCATCCACTACATAGTATTATGCAATAATTTTTGTGCCCATGCTCCACTATTGAAATATTATATTGATCCAGTAGCTCACAAATAATATTATACTCATAAATAATACTCATCTTACACGTTATTCTGCAAAGTTTATTCTGCCCATGCCCCACTATTCCAATCAATTTTCAAGACAATATTATCAATACGTAATACGGAGTATAAAATATAAAATACTGGACAAGCGTATCTCTGTTAGAGAATTAACCTGAAGAAGAGAAGAAAGCCACAGACTCACGTAGAGGAAAAGCCAGAGAAGATGATCACCGGCGCTGTTGCAGAATACGGAGATACGCTACTACCTACGGAGTATTTGCTAAGCAAACTTATATACTACTGTGGTAGGGTATGTATTTTAAAATTAAATTAATTTAGGAATTTGGGCTCCAGCTGTTATGTTGGGCCTATCTTTTGAGGCGCGACTCATCTCCCGCGTTATGGCGTGCGCAATAAGCGTACGATTTTGGCGTATAATTTTTTATTGCTTAATCTAGTCTAAGCCTTGCACTGTAAAATCTGAAAAAGTAACACAGCTAGCCTTATTGCGCTAAGGCGGAACGCAATTTTAAACGTTTGGTACAAAGAAGAATCCACTGCGTATTAAAATAAGAAAGAAGAATCCACTAATAAAATATTACTTCTGCAATCTGCACTTTATCCTTGAGTACCTTTTTCCTAACCATCCAGAACATCTTACATCTATCAATAAATATGTAAAATCCTAAACCCATACCTGCGGATAAGGATGAGAGCAGAGAAAAAGTTGCAGAATTCTGTGCGCAGGGAAGAAAGCAGCGGAAGTAGGAATTACGAACGAGGATGGTTGCAGAGGCTCCTAGGCAAACTTATACTACGGCGTCTAACCCTGTTAAGTTTTTTTTTTTTAAT